CCCCCAAAATCCCAATGGGGACCCCCAGAACCCCCCAGGGACCCCAAAATCCCAATGGGGACCCCCAAAATCCCAATGGGGCCCCCCAGAACCCCCCAAAATCCCAGTGGGGACCCCCGAAAATCCCAGTGGGGCCCCCCCAGACCCCGACCTTGGCGCCGGCGTCGCCCTCGGGGCGCTCGGCCGGGCCCTTCCCGGGCGGCTCCGGGGCCCTCGGCTCCTCCTTCTTGGGGCCTTCGGCCTTGTCGGGGCGCTCCTCCTCCTCCTCCTGCTCCAGGATGCGCAGGTCGTGCTCCGTGCCCCCCTCCATCTTGATCACCGCTGCGAAAACGGGGGAAAAAACGGCAAAAAACGGGTTAGAAATGGTAAAAATGTGTTAGAAAGGGTAAAAATGGGTTAGGAATGGTAAAAAATGGGGGGGGAAAACGGGCAAAAATGGGGGAGAAATGGCCAAAAAACGGGTTAGGAAGGGGCAAAAAATGGGTTAGGGACAGCCAAAAATGGGAGAAAAGGGCAAAAATGGGGAGAAATGGCCAAAAAAATGGGTTAGAAAGGGCAAAAAATGGGTTAGGAATGGTAAAAAATGGTTAGGAATGGCAAAAATGGGGGAAAACGGCCAAATATGGGATCGATGTCCTCTATATCTATATCTATATCTATATTTATAATTATATTTATATCTATATCTATATCTATATTTATATTTATATCTATATCTATATCTACATCTACATCTATATCTATATCTATATTTATATTTATTTTCCGGGGTACCTGCATCCAGGGTTCTGACGATCCACGGGGCACGGTCAATGTCCTCTATATTTTATATTTATATCTATATTTATATCTATATTTATATTTATTTTATATTTATTTTGGGGTACCTGCATCGAGTGTTTTGACGATCTGTGGCGCGCGGTCAATGTCCAGCAGCAGGTTCTCGATGTCTATATGTATTTCTATAGCTATAGCTATACCTATATTTATAATTATTTTATATTTATATTTATTTTGGGTTACCTGCATCGAGTGTTTTGACGATCTGCGGGGCACGGTCGATGTCCAGCAGCAGGTTCTCGATGTCTATATGTATTTCTATAGCTATATCTATATCTATATCTATATTTACATTTATATTTATATTATTTTTGGTGTTACCTGCATCGAGTGTTTTGACGATCTGCGGCGCACGGTCGATGTCCAGCAGCAGGTTCTCGATGTCTATATGTATTTCTATATCTATCTATATCTATATTTACATTTATATATATATTTATTTTATATTTTGGGTTACCTGCATCGAGGGTTTTGACAATCTGCGGGGCGCGGTCGATGTCCAGCAGCAGGTTCTCGATGTTTATATGTATTTCTATAAGCTATATCTATATTTTTATCTATATATATATTATTTTTGGTGTTACCTGCGTCCAGGGTTTTGACAATCTGCGGGGCACGGTCGATGTCCAGCAGCAGGTTCTCGATGTTTATATGCATTTCTATAGCTATATCTATATCTATATTTACATTTATATATATATTTATTTAATTTTCAGGATTACCTGCGTCCAGTGTTTTGACAATCTGCGGGGCGCGGTCGATGTCCAGCAGCAGGTTTCCCGATGTTGATATGTATTTCTATAGCTATATCTATATTTTTATCTATATATATATTATTTTTGGTGTTACCTGCATCGAGTGTTTTGACGATCTGCGGCGCACGGTCAATGTCCAGCAGCAGGTTCTCGATGTCTATATGTATTTCTATAGCTATACCTTATATCTATAACTATTATCTATAATTATTTTTATATCTATATTTTCAGGGTTACCTGCATCGAGTGTTTTGACGATCTGCGGGGCGCGGTCAATGTCCAGCAGCAGGTTCTCGATGTTTATATGTATTTCTATAGCTATAATTATTTTATATTTATATTTTTCAGGATTACCTGCGTCCAGTGTTTTGACGATCTGCGGGGCACGGTCAATGTCCAGCAGCAGGTTCTCGATGTTATATGTATTTCTATATCTGTATCTATATCTATACCTATATTTATATATATATATATTTATTTTGGGGTACCTGCATCGAGTGTTTTGACGATCTGCGGGGCACGGTCGATGTCCAGCAGCAGGTTCCCGATGTTTATATGCATTTCTATAGCTATATCTATATCTATAACTATATTTATATTAATATATATTTATTTTGGGTTACCTGCATCGAGTGTTTTGACGATCTGCGGGGCACGGTCAATGTCCAGCAGCAGGTTCCCGATGTTTATATGTATTTCTATAGCTATAATTATATTTATATTTATTTTATATTATTTTGGTGTTACCTGCGTCCAGTGTTTTTGACAATCTGCGGGGCACGGTCGATGTCCAGCAGCAGGCTCTCGATGTCTATATGTATTTCTATAGCTATATCTATATCTATATTTACATTTATATATATATTTATTTAATTTCAGGGGTACCTGCGTCCAGGGTTTTGACGATCTGCGGGGCACGGTCGATGTCCAGCAGCAGGTTCCCGATGTTTATATGCATTTCTATAGCTATAACTATATCTATATCTATATCTATATTTATTTTATATTATTTTTGGTGTTACCTGCATCGAGTGTTTTGACGATCTGCGGGGCACGGTCGATGTCCAGCAGCAGGTTCTCGATGTTTATATGTATTTCTATCGCTATAACTATATCTATACCTATATTTATATCTATATTTATATTATTTTTGGGGTACCTGCGTCCAGGGTTTTGACGATCTGCGGGGCACGGTCGATGTCCAGCAGCAGGTTCCCGATGTTTATATGTATTTCTATAGCTATAGCTATACCTATATTTATAATTATTTTATATCTATATTTTCAGGGTTACCTGCATCGAGTGTTTTGACGATCTGCGGGGCGCGGTCGATGTCCAGCAGCAGGTTCTCTATGTCTATATGTATTTCTATAGCTATATCTATATCTATATTTACATTTATATATATATTTATTTTATATTTTTGGGGTTACCTGCATCGAGTGTTTTGACGATCTGCGGGGGCACGGTCGATGTCCAGCAGCAGGTTCTCGATGTTTCTATAGCTATATCTATATCTATACCTATATTTATATATATATATATATTTTCAGGGTTACCTGCATCGAGTGTTTTGACGATCTGCGGCGCACGGTCGATGTCCAGCAGCAGGTTCTCAATGTTTCTATAGCTATATCTATATCTATACCTATATTTATATTTATATATATATATTTTTGGGTTACCTGCATCGAGCGTTTTGACAATCTGCGGGGCACGGTCGATGTCCAGCAGCAGGTTCTCTATGTTTCTATAGCTATAACTATATCTATACCTATATTTATAATTATTTTATATTTATTTTGGGTTACCTGCATCCAGTGTTTTGACAATCTGCGGGGCACGGTCAATGTCCCAGCAGCAGGTTCTCCAGCCAGCCGTGCTCCCACAGGTACAGGAACACCCCCAGGCGGTTCCTGAGCGCCGCCTGCGCCTCCTGCTGCCGCCGCCCGGCCTCGTCCGGGTGGTACTTGGAGCGGAACCTGGGATTGGGGTGAGAAACACGGGGGGGACGGAGATGGGGGCGCGCAGGGGGACCCTGGAATGTGGGGGGAAATCGGGCAGGGGGGTCCTTGGAGCGGAACCTGGGATTGGGGTGAGAAACACGGGGGGGACGGAGATGGGGGCGCGCAGGGGGACCCCGGAATGGGGGGGGATTGAGCAGGGGGTACCTGGAGCGGAACCTGGGATTGGGGTGAGAAATGCAGGGGGACGGAGATGGGGGCGCGCAGGGGGGACCCTGGAATGTGGGGGGGAAATCGGGAAGGGGGAGAGGGGAGAGGGAGAGGGGAGGGGGCTTGAATTGGGCTGAAAATGGGGCTGAAAATGGGAGAGTTTGGGGAGAATTGGGAGAATTCGGGGCTGAAACTGGGCCTGAAATTGGGAGAATTTGGGGCTGAAATTGGGCTGAAAATTGGAGAGTTTGGGGCTGAAATTGGGGCTGAAAATGGGAGAATTTGGGTCTGAAACTGGGTCTGAAACTGGGAGAGTTTGGGGAGAAATTGGGGCTGAAAATGGGAGAGTTTGGGGCTGAAATTTGGGCTGAAAATGGGAGAATTTGGGGCTGAAATTGGGGCTGAAAATGGGAGAGTTTGGGGAGAAATTGGGGCTGAAAATGGAGAAATATGGGTCTGAAACTGGGCCTGAAATTGGGAGAGTTTGGGGAGAAATTTGGGCTGAAAATGGGAGAATTCGGGGCTGAAATTGGGGCTGAAAATGGGAGAATTTGGGGCTGAAATTTGGGCTGAAATTGAGAGAATCTGGGGAGAATTTGGGGCTGAAACTGGGAGAATTTGGGGCTGAAATTGGGGCTGAAACTGGGTCTGAAATTGAGAGAATCTGGGGAGAATTTGGGGCTGAAACTGGGTCTGAAATTGGGAGAGTTTGGGGCTGAAACTGGGAGAATTCGGGGCTGAAAATGGGTCTGAAATTGGGAGAATTTGGGGAGAAATTGGGGCTGAAAATGGGAGAATTTGAGGCTGAAACTGGGAGAATTTGGGTCTGAAACTGGGTCTGAAACTGGGAGAATTTGGGGCTGAAATGGGGTCTGAAAATGGGAGAATTTGGGGCTGAAACTGGGAGAATTTAGGTCTGAATTTGGGGAGAATTTGGGTCTGAAACCGGGTCTGAAATTGCAAGAATTTGGGTCTGAAATTGGGAGAATTTGGGTCTGAAATTGGGTCTTAATTAGTTCTGAAATTGGGAGAATTTTGGGTCTGAATTTGGGGAGAAATTGGGTCTGAAATTGGTCTGAATTTGGGTCTGAATGTGGGTCTGAAATTGGGAGAATTTGGGGAGAATTCGGGTCTGAAACTGAGTCTGAAAATGGGAGAGTTTGGGGCTGAAACTGGGGCTGAAAATGGGGCTGAAACTGGGAGAATTCGGGGCTGAAATTTGGTCTGAAATTGGGAGAGTTCGGGTCTAAATTTGGGAGAATTTGGGTCTGAATTTAGGTCTGAAACTGGGTCTGAAACTGGAAGAATTTGGGTCTGAAACTGGGTCTGAAATTGGGAGAATTTGGGGCTAAAATGGGTCTAAATTTGGGAAAATTTGGGGAGAATTTGGGTCTGAAATTGGGAGAATTTGGGTCCGAAACTGGGTCTGAAATTGGGAGAATTTGGGGCTGAAATGGGGTCTAAATTTGGGGATAATTTGGGTCTGAAATTGGGAGAATTTGGCTCTGAATTCGGGTCTGAAATTGGGAGATTTTGGCTCTGATTTTGGGCGAATTTGGGTCTGAAATTGGAGAAAATTTAGGTCTGAATTTGGGCCTGAAATTGGAGAATTTGGCTCTGAATCTGGGGTGTTTCAAGACGTTTTCATGGCTCATTTTCGGGCCGGTTTTTGCATTTTTGGGGCCGTTTCAAGACATTTTCAGGGGCATTTTTAGCGCTGCTTTTTTCATTTTTTGGGGCTGTTTTTAACCACGCATCGAATGCAGGTTTCTGGGCATTTTCAGGTACATTTTTGGGTGGTTTTCCAGTTTTTATCATATTTTGGGATCATCTCAAAGCGTTTAGGCACAATTTTGATGCAGTTTAGGGGAACTTCCAGCATCATTTTTAGCTGATTCTGGGCTGTTTTGAGCAAAATTTTGAGAATTTCCAGGGTGATTTTGGGGCAATTTCTGGGATATTTTAGGACATTTTGGGCTGGCGTTCCGGGGTGTTTTTGGGGCGTTTTTGGGCTGTTTTAGGACATTTTGGGCTGGCGTTCCTGGGGTGCTTTTGGGTCAATTTTGTGCTGTTTTAGGCTATTTTGGGCTGGCATTTCCAGGGTGATTTTGGGGCAATTTTTGGGCTGTTTTAGGACATTTTGGGCTGGCGTTCCCGGGGTGTTTTTGGGGCATTTTTGGGCTGTTTTAGGACATTTTGGGCTGGCATTTCAAGGGTGCTTTTGGGGCAATTTCTGGGATATTTTAGGATATTTTGGGCTGGCATTTCCAGGGTCTTTTGGGGCATTTTTGGGCTGTTTTAGGACATTTTGGGCTGGCATTTCCAGGGTGCTTTTGGGGCATTTTTGGGATATTTTAGGCTGGCGTTTCCAGGGTGTTTTTGGGGCATTTTGGGCTATTTTAGGCTATTTTGGGCTGGCGTTCCCGGGGTGTTTTTGGGGCATTTTTGGGCTATTTTAGGACATTTTGGGCTGGCGTTCCCGGGGTGTTTTTGGGTCAATTTTGGGGATATTTTAGGCTATTTTAGGCTGGCGTTTCCGGGTGCTTTTGGGGCATTTTGGGGATATTTTAGGCTGGCGTTTCCAGGGTGTTTTTGGGGCATTTTGGGGATATTTTAGGCTATTTTGGGCTGGCGTTTCTGGGGTGTTTCTGGGGCGTTTCTGGGCTGCTCTGGGGCTCTCTGAGGGCGGTTCCAGGTGTGTCCCAGGTGTTGCCAGGTGTCCCGTGGGGGGGATGCTCATACCTACACTCGCCGCGAGCGTCGCCGTCCGCCGGGCCCCGAAAACTGCGGCGCTTTTAAAAACCCCGAAAAATCGGCCGCGGCTTTTCGGGTTTTTTTTTTTTGGGGTTTTTGGTTTTTTTGGCTTTTTTTTTTTTTGGTGGCGAACCCCCCCAAAAAAAAAATAAAACAACAAAAGTCCCTGGCTACGTCCTGCACTGAGACCTCGCCGCATTGTGCGCGGCCCCGCCCTGTCTGCCTGCCCCGCCCGGCGGCTCCAGAGCGGCTCCTCGGGGTGCTGGGGGAGAAGGGAAGCGTTAAACCCGAAACAGACCCCGAAACCACCCCAAAAGTGCCCCAAAAATGTGCCCCAAAATGGCCCCAAAGCGCTGGGGGAGAAGGGAAGCGTTAAACCCGAAACAGACCCCGAAACCACCCAAAACTGCCCCAAAATGTGCCCCAAACTGCCCCAAAACTGGCCCGAAAGCGCTGGGGGAGAAGGGAAGCGTTAAACCGAAACAGACCCAAAACCACCCCAAAACTGCCCAAAATGGCCCCAAAGCGCTGGGGGAGAAGGGAAGCGTTTAAACCCGAAACAGACCCCGAAACCACCCCAAAACTGCCCCAAAATGTGCCCCAAAATGGGCCCCATGGGTGCTGGGGGAGAAGGGAAGCGTTTAAACCCGAAACAGACCCCGAAACCACCCCAAAACTGCCCCAAAACTGCCCCAAAACTGCCCCGAAACTGCCCCAAAATACACCCCAAAACTGTCCCAAAATGTATGTCAAAAACTGCCCAAAACCACCCCAAAACTGCCCAAAAATATGCCCCAAAACTGCCCCAAAACTGCCCCGAAATGTACGTCAAAACTGCCCCAAAATGTACATCAAAACTGCCCCAAAATGTACATAAAACTGCCCCAAAATACACCCCAAAACTGCCCCAAAACTGCCCCAAAATGTACGTCAAAACTGCCCCAAAACTGCCCTGAGGGCGCTGGGGGAGAAGGGAAGCGTTAAACCCAAAACAGACCCAAAACCACCCCAAAATGTGCCCCAAAACTGCCCCGAAATATATGTCAAAACTGCCCCAAAACCACCCCAAAACTGCTGCAAAACTGCCCCAAAACTGCCCAAAATGTACGTCAAAACTGCCCCAAAATACACCCCAAAACTGCCCCAAAATTGCCCCAAAATTGCCCTGAGGGCGCTGGGGGAGAAGGGAAGCGTTAAACTCAAAATCCACCCCAAAATTGCCCCAAACTGCCCCAAACCCAGCCCCAATCTGCCCTCTCTGCCTGCCCTGCCCAGCGGCTCCGCAGCTTCTGAGGGTGCTGGGGGAGAAGGGAAGGGTTTAAACCTTCAGAGACCCCAAAATTGCCCCAAAATCACCCTAAATTCACCCCAAAATTGCCCCAAAATTACCCCAAGGGCGCTGCGGGAGCGTTAATCCTGGAGACGCCCCAAAATCTACCCCAAAACTGCCCCAAAACTGCCCCAAAATCTACCCCAAACTGCCCCAAATCTGCCCCAAAACCGCCCCGAGGGCGCTGGGGGAGAAGGGAAGTGTTAAACCTTCAAAGACCCCAAAAATCCATCCCAAAATCCACCCCAAAACTGCCCTAAAACTGCCCTAAAACTGCCCCAAAACCGCCCTAAAACTGCCCCAAAATTGCCCCAAAATCTACCCCAAACTGCCCCAAAACTGCCCCGAGGGCGCTGGGGGAGAAGGGAAGCATTAAACCTGCAGAGACCCCAAAAATCCATCCCAAAATCCACCCCAAAACTGCCCTAAAACTGCCCTAAAACTGCCCCAAAACAGCCCTGAGACTGCTGACATAAGGGGATCATCAAACCTGGAGAGACCCCAAAAATCCACCCAAAATCCACCCCAAAATCCAACCCAAAACTGCCAAAAAACTGCCCCAAACACAGCCCCAAAACTGCCCTGAGAGCGCTGGGGAGAGGGGAAGTGTTTAAACCTGGAGAGATCCCAAAATCCCACCCCAAAATCACCCCAAAACTGCCCTGAGACGGCTGAAATAAGGGAATGGTTAAACCTGGAGAGACCCCAAAAATCCATCCCCAAAACTGCCCCAAAACTGCCCAAGGGCACTGGGGGAGAAGCAAGTGTTAAACCTGGAGAGACCCCAAAATCCACCTCAAACTGCCCCAAAATTGCCCCAAAATTGCCCCAAAACTGCCCTGAGACGGCCGAAATAAGGAAATCATTAATCCTGGAGAGACCCCAAAAATTCACCCCAAAACCACCTTAAATTGCCCCAAAACTGCCCCAAAACTGCCCTGAGACGGCTGAAATAAGGGAATGGTCAAACCTGGAGAGACCCCAAAAATCCACCCCAAAAATCCACCTCAAACTGCCCAAAACTGCCCCAAAACTGCCCCAAGGGCACTGGGAGAGAAGCAAAGTGTTAAACCTGGAGAGACCCCAAAAATCCACCCCCAAAACCACCCCAAAATTGCCCCCAAAATCCACCCCAAACTGCCCTGAGACGGCTGAAATAAGGGAATTGTTAAACCTGGAGAGACCCCAAAAATCCACCTCAAACTTCCCCAAAATTGCCCCAAAACTGGCCCAAAACCAGCCCCTGAGATGGCTGAAATAAGGCGAGTGTCAGACCTGGAGAGACCCCAAAAATCCACCCCAAAACTGCCCCAAATTCACCCCAAAACGGCCCCAAGGGCACTGGGGGAGAAGGGAAATGTTAAACCTGGAGAGACCCCAAAAATTCACCCCAAAACTGCCCCAAATCCACCCCAAAACTGCCCTGAGACTGCTGAAACAAGGGAATGGTCAAACCTGGAGAGACCCCAAAATCCACCCCAAAACTGCCCCAAAATTGCCCCAAATCCACCCCAAAATTGCCCCGACACGGCCGAAATAAGGGAATCGTTAATCCTGGAGAGACCCCAAAAAATCCACCCCAAAACCACCTTAAATTGCCCCAAAACTGCCCCAAAACTGCCCTGAGACAGCTGAAATAAGGGAATGGTCAAACCTGGAGGGACCCCAAAATTGCACCTCAAAACTGCCCCAAAATCCACCCCAAAACTGCCCCAAAATCCACCCCAAAACTGCCCCAAGGGCACTGGGGGGGAAGCAAAGTGTTTAACCTGGAGAGACCCCAAAAATCCACCCCAAAACTGCCCAAAATTGCCCCAAATCCACCCCAAAACTGCCCCAAAACTGCCCCAAAACTGCCCCAAGGGCACTGGGAGAGAAGCAAAGTGTTAAACCTGGAGAGACCCCAAAAATCCACCCCAAAACTGCCCCAAAACTGGCCCAAATCCACCCCAAACCGAGACCCCATAGGGCACAGGGTGGGGGGGGGGACTCCCCCTTCGAGAGGGTCTGGGGGGGATTTTGGGGTGCAAAATTGGAATTTTGGGGTCTCCGGGGCATTTTTGGGGCCTCCCAGGACACATTAGTGACACAGAACATTCCGGAACCCCTTTGGGCACCTACCACTCCTCGTCCCTGTGGGCCAGGATTTTTGGGTGCAGAATTGGAATTTTGGGGTCTCCAGGCCATTTTTGGGGTCTCCCAGGACATTTTTGGGGTGCAGAATTGGATTTTTGGGGTCTCCCATGACACATTAGTGACACAGAACAATCCGGAACCCCTTCCAGCACGTACCACTCCTCGTCCTTGTGGGCCCAGATTTTTGGGGTGCAGAATTGGAATTTTGGGATCTCCCAGAATTTCTGGAGCCTCCAGGACATTTTTAGGGTCTCCCAGGACATTTTTGGGGTCTCCAGGCCATTTTTGGGGTCTCCCAGAACACTTTAGAGGCACAGAACCTTCCAGAACCCCTTCCAGCACGTACCACTCCTTGTCCTTGTGGGCCAGGATTTTTGGGGTGCAAAATTGGAATTTTGGGGTCTCCAGGACAATTTTGGGGTCTCCCATGACACTTTAGTGACACGGAACCTTCCAGAATCCCTCGTGGCACACACCACTCCTTGTGGGCCTGGGTTTTTGGGGTGCAGAATTGGAATTTTGGGGTCTCCCAGGACACTTTAGAGGCACGGAACATTCCAGAACCCCTTTGACCACCTACCACTCCTCGTGGGCCTGGGTTTTTGGGGTCTCCCAGGACAATTTTGGGGCGCAGAATTGGATTTTTGGGGTCTCCAGAACAATTTTGGCATCTCCCATGACACTTTAGTGGCTCGGAGCCTTCCAGAACCCCTTCCAGCACCTACCACTCCTCGTCCTCGTGGGCCAGGATTTTTTGGGGTGCAGAATTGGAATTTTGGGGTCTCCAGAACAATTTTGGGGTCTCCCATGACACTTTTGGGGTCTCCCAGAATTTTTGGGTCTCCAGGACAATTTTTGGGGTCTCCCAGGACACTTTTGGGGCACAGAACATTCCAGAACCCCTTGTGGCCCAGAACTCCTTGTGGGCCTGGATTTTTGGGTCTCCAAGACATTTTTGGGTCTCCAGGACAATTTTGGGGTGCAGAATTGGAATTTTGGGGGTCTCCATGCCATTTTAGGGTCTCCCATGACACTTTAGAGGCACAGAACCTTCCAGAACCCCTTGGGCACGTACCACTCCTCATGGGCCGGGATTTCTGGGGTCTCCAGGCCATTTTTGGGGTCTCCCATGACACTTTTAGGGTCTCCCATGACACATTAGTGACACGGAACGTTCCAGAACCCCCTTTGGGCACACACCACTCCTCGTGGGCCGGGATTTTTGGGTGCAGAATTGGAATTTTGGGGTCTCCCAGGACACATTAAAGGCACGGAACATTCCAGAACCCCTCTGGGCACGTACCACTCCTCGTCCTTGTGGGCCAGGCCATTTTTGGGGCCTCCCATGACACTTTTGGGGTCTCCCATGACACATTAAAGGCACGGAACCTTCCAGAACCCCTTTGGGCACGTACCACTCCTCGTCCTTGTGGGCCAGGAAGAACTCCTGCAGCTGCTGCCGCGGAAGTCCAGCTTGTAGTCGTTGTAGCGCTTCACGGCCTCCGTCTCGTCCACGGCGTCGTCCAGGGACAGCAGGAACTCCTTGAAGCTCTTCATCACCGGGGGCGCCATGCCCAGGTCCACCTCCGCGATGGTGCCCAGCCCTGGGGGGCGATATCGGGGATTTGGGGGCGATATCGGGGGATATCGGGGGTTTGGGGGCGATATCACGATATTTGGGGGCAATATTGGGGGATATCACGATATTTGGGGGCGATATCGGGGGATATCGTGATGTTTGGGGGCGATATCGGGGGATATCACGATATTTGGGGGTGATATCGGGGGATATTGCAATATTTGGGGGCGATATCGGGGGATATCGGGGGTTTGGGGGCGATATCGGGGGTTTGGGGGCGATATCGGGGGATATCGCGATATTTGGGGGCGATATCGGGGGGTTTGGGGTCGGTATCAGGGATTTGGGATCGATATCAGGGGATATCGCAATATTTGGGGGCGATATCGGGGGATATCGGGGGTTTGGGATCAATACTGGGGTTTGGGATCGATATCGGGGGATATCAGGAGGTTTGGGATCAATATTGCGATATTTGGGGGCGATGTCGGGGGTTTGGGATCGATATCGGGGGATATTGGGGGGTTTGGGGTTAATATCGGGGGGTTTGGGGTCACTATCAGGGGATATCGCGATATTTGGGGGCGATATTGGGGGGTCTGGGGTCACTATTGGGGGCTTTGGGGCCAATATTGGGGGATTTGGGGCCAATATCGGGGATTTGGGATCAATATCAAGGATTTGGGGTCACTATCAGGGATTTGGGGTCACTATTTGAGAATTTGGGATCAATATCAGGGATTTAGGGTCACAATGGGGCACTTTGGGGCAATTACTGAAGAATTTGGGGTCGTTACAGGGGCTCAGGGGTTTTGGGGTGTCCAGGCTCAGTTTTTGGGGTGAATTTGGGACATTTTGGGGGCTCACAGAACTCGGGGAATTTCGGGATTTTCTGGGGGGTTTTTGGGGTGCCTGGGCTCATTTTTTGGGGTGAATTTGGGGCATTTTGGGGTCTGGGAACTCTGGGATTTTCTGGGGAGTTTTTGGGGTGTCCGGGCTCATTTTTTGGGGTAAATTCAGGGTATTTTGGCTCACCTGGCCTGGATGGGCAGCAGCTGGTGCTGCAGGAGCTGCTGCTGCTGACCCCGCACGGTTTTGGGGGTGAATTTGGGGCATTTTGGGGGCTCACAGAACTCAGGGAATTTCGGGATTTTCCGGGGGGTTTTTGGGGTGCCCCAGCTCGGTTTTTGGGGTGAATTCGGGGCATTTTGGCTCACCTGGCCTGGATGGGCAGCAGCTGGTGCTGCAGGAGCTGCTGCTGCTGACCCCGCACGGTTTTGGGGTGAATTTGGGACATTTTGGGGGCTCACAGAACTCAGGGAATTTCGGGATTTTCTGGGGGTTTTTGGGGTGTCCGGGCTCATTTTTTGGGGTGAATTTGGGTGATTTTGGCTCACCTGGCCTGGATGGGCAGCAGCTGGTGCTGCAGGAGCTGCTGCTGCATCTCGTGGGGGCCCCAGGGCGCCTGGGGGGGGCCGTAGGTGGGGCCGGCGCCGCCGCCCCCGTAGGGCAGCTCGTACCCGCCGTGGTAGGGGTCAGTGCTGTGGTCATCCCTGCGGCCAGAGAGGGGACAGTGGTCATTTGGGGGTCAGGGAGGGGACAGGGGTCAGTGCTGTGGTCATCCCTGCGGCCACAGAGGGGGACATTGGTCACTTGGGGGGCAGGGAGGGGTCAGGGGTCAGTGCTGTGGTCATCCCTGCGGCCGGAGAGGGGACATTGGTCATTTGGGGGTCACTGACAGGGGTCACTGGGGGGTCAGGGGTCAGTGCTGTGGTCATCCCTGCGGCCACAGAGCGGACATTGGTCACTCAGGGGGCACTGACAGGGGGCAGGGAGGGGACAGGGGTCAGTGCTGTGGTCATCCCTGCGGCCGGAGTGGACATTGGTCACTTGGGGGGTAAGGGAGGGGTCAGGGGTCAGTGCTGTGGTCATCCCTGCGGCCACAGAGTGGACATTGGTCACTTGGAGGGTAAGGGAGGGGTCAGGGGTCAGTGCTGTGGTCATCCCTGCGGCCAGAGTGGACAGGAGTCATTTGGGGGTAAGGGGTCAGTGCTGTGGTCATCCCTGCGGCCACAGAGTGGACAGTGGTCACTCAGGGGACAGGGAGGGGTCAGGGGTCAGTGCTGTGGTCATCCCTGCGGCCAGAGTGGACATTGGTCACTCAGGGGGTAAGGGGGGTCACTGGGGGGTCAGGGGTCAGTGCTGTGGTCATCCCTGCGGCCAGAGTGGACATTGGTCACTCAGGGGTCAGGGGAGGGGACAGGGAGGGGTCAGAGGTCAGTGCTGTGGTCATCCCTGCGGCCGGAGAGTGGACACTGGTCAGGGAGGGGTCACTCGGGGCAGGGAGGGGTCAGGGAGGGGTCAGGGGTCAGTGCTGTGCTCATCCCTGCGGCCAGAGAGTGGACACTGGTCAATCAGGGGACAGGGAGGGGTCAGGGGTCAGTGCTGTGGTCATCCCTGCGGCCACAGAGGGGACATTGGTCACTCAAGGAGCGGTTTTCGGATTATTTTGGGGTGAATTTGGGCCGTTTTGGGGCTCTCTCACCAGTCCCTGCGCAGCCCGTTTCTGGGATGATTTTGGGGTGATTTTGGGGTGATTTTGGGCTGTTTTGGGGCTCTCTCACCAGTCCCTGCGCAGCCGTTTCTGGGGCAGTTTTGGGGCAGTTTTGGGGTGATTTTGGGGTGATTTTGGGGTGATTTTGGGGTGAATTTGGGCTGTTTTGGGGCTCTCTCACCAGTCCCTGTGCAGCCGTTTCTGGGGCAGTTTTGGGGTGATTTTGGGGTGAATTTGGGCCGTTTTGGGGCTCTCTCACCAGTCCCTGCGGAGCTGTTTCTGGGGCAGTTTTGGGGTGATTTTGGGGTGATTTTGGGGTGAATTTGAGCTGTTTTGGGGCTCTCTCACCAGTCCCTGCGCAGCCATTTCTGGGATGATTTTGGGCTGATTTTGGGGTGATTTTGGGGTGAATTTGGGCCGTTCTGGGGCTCTCTCACCAGTCCCTGCGCAGCCGTTTCTGGGGCAGTTTTGGGCTGATTTTGGGGTGAATTTGGGCCGTTTTGGGGCTCTCTCACCAGTCCCTGCGCAGCCGTTTCTGGGGCGGGCTCAGCTCGTGCCGGGGTGGGGAGAATCGCTCCCGCCGGGTGCGGTCGTAGTCCCGGTAATCGCGGCTGCGGCGCTCCCGGCCCCGCTCCCAGTCCCTGCGAGGCCAAACTGGGATCAACTGGGATCAACTGGGTTCAACTGGGATCAACTGGGAGCCAGGGAACCCCAGAACCCCCCCGGTATCGGTACTGGGCAAACTGGGTTAAACTGGGAACCAGGGACCCCTCCCAGTCCCTCCCAGTCCCTCTCCAGTCCCTCCCAGTGACCCTGCCCAGTATCCCCAGTGCTCCCAGTATCCCCAGTATCCCCAATGTTCCCAGTCCCTCCCAGTTCCTCCCAGTATCCCCAGTACCAGTCACTGCAATGCTCCCAGTCCCTCTCCAGTCCCTCCCAGTATCCCCAATCCCTCCCAGTCCCTCCCAGTGACCCTGCCCAGTATCCCCAGTGCTCCCAGTCCCTCCCAGTATCCCCAGTTCCCCCAGTGCCGGTCGCTCCAGTGCCCCCAGTCCCTCCCAGTATCCCCAGTACCAGTCTCTCCCAGTCCCTCCCAGTATCCCCAGTTCCCCCGGTACCAGTCGCTCCAGTCCCTCCCAGTCCCTCCCAGTATCCCCAGTGTCCCCAGTCCCTCCCAGTATCCCCAGTACCGGTCACTCCAATACCCCCAGTCCCTCCCAGTCCCTCCCAGTATCCCCAGTATCCCCAGTGCCGGTCGCTCCAGTGCCCCCAGTCCCCCCCAGTCCCTCCCAGTATCCCCAGTATCCCCAGTACCGGTCACTCCAATGCCCCCAGTCCCTCCCAGTGACCCTGCCAGTATCCCCAGTTTCCCCAGTCCCTCCCAGTATCCCCAGTTCCCCCAGTACCGGTCGCTCCAGTGCCCCCAGTCCCCCCCAGTATCCCCAGTGCCCCCAGTCCCCCCCAGTATCCCCAGTATCCCCAGTACCCGGTCGCTCCAGTCGTCCCCAGTCCCTCCCAGTCCCCCCCAGTATCCCCAGTATCCCCAGTACCGGTCACTCCAGTGTCCCCAGTCCCTCCCAGTCCCCCCCAGTATCCCCAGTCCCTCCCAGTCCCTCCCAATATCCCCAGTCCCCCCGGTACCGGTCGCTCCAGTGCCCCCAGTCCCTCCCAGTCCCTCCCAGTATCCCCAGTGCTCCCAGTACCGGTCGCTCCAGTCGTCCCTCCTCCTCTCCTCCCTCTCCCGGGACCGTTCGTAGTCGCTGCGCTCCCGCCGGAATTTGTCCCTGCGCCGCCGGTCGTACTCATCGTCACTGTCACCCATCCTGAGGGGACACCGCAGGGTCACTGCAGGGTCACTGACCGCCACAGGGACCACCAGGGCACAAAGTGACCCCACAGTGACCACCAGGGCACAAAGTGACCCCACAGTGACCACCCGGACAGACCTGACCCCACAGTGCCCACCCGGGCACCCCTGACCACCACAGTGACCACCCGGGCACCCCTGACTCCACAGTGACCACCAGGGAACCCCTGACCACCACAGTGACCACTGCACTGAGACCCCCACAGTGACCACCCCAACGCCGGGGGTCACAGGGTGAGCCCAAAGGGACCCTCAAAGTGACCCCTCAGACGCACAAACTGTCCCCAAGCGCCCAGAGTGACCCCCAGAGCCACGAACTGTCCCCCCCTGGACACCCCTGACCCCACAGTGACACCTCAAACCCATAAATTACCCCCACAGTGACCCCCAGACTCACAAACTGCACCCACAGTGACCCCCAGACCCACAAACTGCCCCCACAATGACCCCCAGACCCATAAACTGCCCCCACAGTGACCCCCCAGACTCACAAACTGCACCCAAAAGGACCCCCCAGAGCCACAAAGTGACCTCCAAAGGGACCCCCCGGACACCCCTGACCCCCACAGTGACCCCAGGTCGCCCCCAAATCGCCCTCCCACGCTCCCCTGGGCCCCCCCCAGAGCCCCCAAATCCCCTCCTATGATCCCCCAGGCTCCCCCCAGAGCCCCGGGACCCCCCAAGTTCCGCTCCCATGATCCCCCAGACCCTCCCCAGACCCTCGGGACCCCCCAGTTCCGCTCCCATGATCTTCCAGGCCCCTCTCAGACACTCGGGACCCCCCAGTTCCCCAGCCCAGACCCCCGGCTCCCCCCCAGCCCCTCACGGAGCCCCTCCCGTGATGCTCTGCGGCCTCCCCCGGACCCCCCCCCGCCCCCCCCCCCCGAACCCCGGGTGCTGAACCCCCCCATCGCACCCCCCCTCTATGACGTCACTGCCCCTCTCCGTGACGTCAGGCGGAGACCCCCCCTACCCCCCCAGACCTGCCCGCGCGCTCCCGGCCCCGCGCGCGCCGCTCGCCGCCCGCTCGCTTCCGGCCCGCGGCGCTTCCGCCGGAAGAGACGTCCACGGGGCCGCCGCCGCCGCCAAAATGGCGCTGGCGGAGAGGGGGGAGTTGAGGCGGGGGGGGGAGGACCGAGCCGCCTCTGGGGCTGCCACGCGCCCGCCGCAGCCTCACCTGGGGCCGCTCCGGTGCGCAGAAACCGCCGGGGGCCGCGGGCGGAGCGCGGGGCGCTCCCAGGAGCCGCTGCAGCCGCCGCGGCCCCGCTCCTCTCTATGGTCGCGGGGGCCGCTCCGCCCGCGCTCCTCTCTATGGTCCCTGAAGGGGGGAGATGGCGCCTCGCCGACTGCGCCTGCGCGCCCGCCGCCTTCCCATTGACCGCCGCTACCGCGCGCGGGATGGCCCCGCCCCTCCCTGGGCGCCGCCATCTTCTCCGCCCGCGTCACGTGACGCGGGCGGCCGCCATTTTGTGTCGGCGGGCTCCGCGCAGGCGCAGAGCGGCTCTGAGGCCGTTTCAGACGCCGCCATTTTGCCAGTGCCCCCCCCAATGCCCTCCCAGTGCTCCCAGTATAGCTCCAGTGCCGCCAGTGCCCCCCCAGTGCCCCCAGTGCCCTCCCAGTTCCCCCAGTGCCCCCAGCATCACTCCAGTTCCCTCCCAGTAACACCCTAGTGCCTTCCCAGTGCTCCCAGTATAGCCCCAGTGCCGCCAGTGCCCCCCCCCAGTACCACCAGTACCCCCCCCAGTGCTCCCAGTATTGCTCAGTGCCCTCCCAGTGCCTCCGAGTATGGTCCCAGTGCCCTCCCAGTGTCCTCCCAGTGCCCCCCAGTATCACCCCAGTGCCCCCCAGTGCTCCCAGCAACCTCCCAGTGACCCCAGTGTCACCCCAGTGCTCCCAGTACCCTCCCAGTATCACCCCAGTGCTCCCAGTATCATCCCAGTATGGCCACAGTGCCCCCCTCAGAACCATTGGAATGTTCGCAGGGATTGGTGACATTGGATACTGGTCTGTACTGGTTTGTACTGGTGTTTTACTGGTCTGCACAGGCCCATGCAGGCCTGTTCCAGTTTGTACTGGTTTGTACTGGTGTTTTACTGGTGTGTGCAGGCACAAACTGGTTTGCACTGGTCTCATACTGGTTTTGTCCTGGTCTGCACAGGCCCGTGCAGGCCCGTTCCAGTTTGTACTGGTCTGTACTGGTCACAAATAGGTCAGAAATTGACCCCCAGTGTCCCCTAAATCCCTCCCAGTCCCCCCAGTCCATCCCAGTTTCATTTCAGCCACCTCAATTACCCCCCCCCAGTGCTCCCAGTCCCTCCCAGTTCCATTTCACGCCACCCAGTTTCCCCCCAGTCCATCCCAGTCTCTCCCAGTCCCTCCTCTCACCCCCCCAGTCCGTCATAGTTCCCTCCCAGTCCATCCCAGTTCCCTCCCAGTTCCCCCCAATCCATCCCAGTTCCCTCCCAGTCCCTCCCAATCCATCCCAGTTCCCTCATAGTCCCCCCCAGAGCTCCCAGTTCCCCCCAGTCCATCCCAGTTCCCCCCCAGTTCCCCCCCAGTCCGTCCCAGTTCCCCCCAATCCATCCCAGTTCCCCCCCAGTCCGTCCCAGTTCCCTCCCAGTCCATCCCAGTTCCCCCCAGTCCCCCCCAGTGCTCCCAGTCCATCCCAGTTCCCCCCCAGTCCCTCCTCTCACCCTCCCCAGTGCTCCCAGTCGCTCCCAGTGCCATTTTAGGCCCCCCCAGCTCATCCCAGTTCCCAGCTGTGAAAACAGCATCATAAAAAGGGAATGCCGTAAAGCGCGACTGCCGTAAAAATTAAATAAAAACAAAATTATAAAAGTAACTGCTTTAAAAATAGAAAAATTAAAAAAAAATTTAAAAAAATAAATGCTTCAAAAGTGCAAAAAATTAAAAATAAAAATTAAATAAAAGCAAAATTAAAAAATAAAAATAAACGCTTCAAAAAAAGAAAAAATAAAAATATAAATAAATAAAAACAAAAACTAACTAAATAAAAAATGTTTTGAAAAAAGAAAAACTAAAATTAAAAATTAAATAAAAAACAAAATTAAAAAATAAAGCTTCAAAAATAAAAAAAATTAAAAATAAAAATTAAAGAAAAGAAATTTAAAAAATAAAATAAATGCTTCAAAAACAGAAAAACAAAAAATAAAAAAATTAAAAATAAAATAAAAAATTAAAACTATTTTTAAAAAAGAAAAATAAAGGGAATATAAATAAAAAACAAAATTAAAAAAATAAAAAATGCTTTAAAAATAGAAAAACTAAACATAAAAATTAAATAAAAAAAATTAAAAGCTGTAAAAATAGAAAAATTAAAATTAAAAATAAAATAAAAAATAGAATTAAAAAAATTAAAAATGCTTCAAAGGTAGAGAAATTTTAAAAAATTAAATAAAAAACAAAATTAGAAAAAAAAACCCTTAAAAATAGAAAAATTAAAAATAAAATCTAAAAAAATTTAAAAATGCTTCAAATATAGAAAAATTTAAAAAAACTAAATAAAATAAAAAAAAACAAAAATGCTTTAAAAATAGAAAAAATAAAAATAAAAATAAAATAAAAAATTTTAAAAAGCTTTAAAAATAGAAAAATTAAAAAAAATTAAAAAAAAAATTAAAAAATAAAAAGCTCAAAAAATAGAAAAATTAAAAATAAAAATTAAATGAAAAATACAATTAAAAAACAAGAAATGCTTTAAAAATAGAAAAAATAAAAATAAAAATAAAATAAAAAATTTTAAAAAGCTTTAAAAATAGAAAAATTTAAAAAAAAATTAAATAAAAAATAAAATTAAAAAAATTAAAAGCTCAAAAAATAGAAAAATTAAAAATAAAAATTAAATGAAAAATACAATAAAAAACAAGAAATGCTTTAAAAATAGAAAAATTAACAATAAAAATTAAAAAAATTTTAAAAAGCTTTAAAAATAGAAATATTAAAAATAAAAATTGAATTAAAAATTAAATTAAAAAAATTATTAAAAGTTAATGAAAAACACAATAAAAACCATAAAGTGATGTAAAGTACTGAAAAAGTTCCATAAAATGTGGTGCCGTAAAGCGCGACTGTCGCAAAACTGCCGTAAAGCAAAACTGTCGTAAAAGGTGCCGTAAAGGGCGTCTGCCGTAAAGCGTGACTGTCGCAAAAGCTGCCGTAAAGCGTGACTGTCGTAAAGCGCGACTGTCGCAAAAGCTGCCGTAAAGCGTGACTGCCGTAAAGCGCGACTGTCGCAAAAGCTGCCGTAAAGCACGGCTGCCGTAAAGCGCGACTGCCGTAAAGCGCGACTGTCGTAAAAGGTGCCGTAAAGCACGGCTGCCGTAAAGTGCGACTGTCGCAAAAGGGGCCGTAAAGCGCGACTGCCGTAAAGCGCGACTGTCGTAAAAGGTGCCGTAAAGCGCGGCTGCCGTAAAGCGCGACTGTCGCAAAAGGGGCCGTAAAGCGCGACTGCCGTAAAGCGCGACTGTCGTAAAAGGTGCCGTAAAGCGCGATTGCCGTAAAGCGCGACTGTCGCAAAAGGGGCCGTAAAGCGCGACTGCCGTAAAGCGCGACTGTCGCAAAAGGGGCCGTAAAGCGCGGCTGCCGTAAAGCGCGACTGTCGCAAAAGGGGCCGTAAAGCGCGAATGTCGTGAAAGGGGCCGTAAAGCGCAACTGTCGCAAAAGGGGCCGTAAAGCGCGACTGCCGTTCAGCCGCGTTTCCCAGAGACTTTTGAGACCCGGGTGTTTCAAGCCGTTTATTTGCATCTCCCGCCGGGCCGTGGCTGCCGCGGGGCCGCTCCCAGCCCGCCGGGCGCCGCTCGAGCCGCGTTTGCCGCACGGGGGGGGGGGCCCGCAGCCACCGCCCCGCCCAGCTCCGCCCCTGCCGCGACTCCGCCCCTCGCCGCCGCGAGTCTCCGGCGGGACACGCCCCCCACGTGACCGCACAGCTGCGGTACCCCGCGGTCCCGCCCACAGCCTTCCGCCCCGCCCCCCAGCCCCTCCCACCGCTCCCGCCATCCTCGCGGCCCCGCCCCCCTAACCCCGCCACTACGAGCCCGCCCACCGGCGTCACCGCGGCCCCGCCCCCTCCTGCCCCCGCTGATCCCGCCGCTTTCCCCCCCCCCCCCCCCCGTTACCCGCGAGTGCGGCCGCTCCTGCCCCCCCCCCCCCCCCCCCCCCACTTTGCGGACCCAGCGGGGCCGGTGCTGGCCCCGGTCCCCGCCGCTGCTGCCGCGTCTCTGCCGTTTCCCGCGGCTCCCGGATCTGCGGTGCCGAGCGCAGCCGGGAGCGGCCGCCCCCCCCCCCCCCCCCCCCCCTCCGGCGCCCCCTGCGCGCGTTGCCGCGGGAGCCCGGCACGGCCCCGCTTGCGCCGGGACCGGGGCGCCCCGGCCCGCCCGGCCGCCCCGTGCCGGCGCCGCGGCGTCTGCACCGGCGTCTGCAGCCTCTGCCGCGCCTGCCGCCGCTCCAGCGCCGCCTCTGCCGCGCCTGCCGCCGCTCCCCGCCCCGCCTCCCCTCAGCGCCGCCCCTGCCCGCCGGGCCGGCAGCCAGCCCAGCCCCCAGCGGCTGCAAGCCGCGGCCGAGCCGCCGCCTGTCCCCCCCCCCCCCCCCGCAGCAGACTCCCGCCGCCTCCACGCCGCTCCTCCCGCCTCCCGGGATCATCTCCCGCTGACGAGGCCGCCCCGCCGCCGCCCGCGGTCGCTGTCCCGCTCCTGCCGCCGCCGCTGCATGGCGGGGGCCGAGCCGCGCCTTCCCCAGCGCGGCCCCCTGCTTCAGAGCTGCCGGATGGCGTGGCCCCGCCGCCTCCTGACACCGCGGCGTTCCCGGTTCCCTTCCATGGCCGCAGCCGCAGCCCCGTTCCCGTTTCCGCGGCTCCGCCGCCTCCCGCACCCCCCAGCCCGCCCGTCCGCCATGATGGCTGTGCCCGCGTTGCCATAGTGACGGAACCCATGCATGCGCAGTTGCTACAACCCCAGCACCTGTGATATCACTCCATGCCACCTCATCCAACCACAGCGCTGCTTCCGGGATCAGCCGCACGCATGCGCAGTTCTATCTCCACGGCCCCCGCCGCCACCCTCCCACTGCGTTCGCCGCAGCTTTGGCACAGCGCGGTCCCGGTTCCGAGCCGCTGCGTGCCGCTGTCCGGCCACAGCCGGCATCCCTGTGCCCTGTCCACGCCACTTCTGCCGCCACTGCGTCTATACACGGCACCACAGCAGGCAAAAACTGCAGCACCTTGCATGTATCCTTCCGCGTCTCTGCCGCTGCCGGAACTTGAGGAGGGCAGGGCCGCATCACCGAGAGATCCCTCCGCAGCGCGTAAAGCTGCAGAACCCACACCTGGTATCCCTCCGCGTTTTCGCCTTCCACACCGAGTGGGACTACTTTGTGTCACGATTTGTCTGCACAGCCACATCCGTGCACACAAACCATGCGAGGAGGAGGAAGAGGAGGAGGTTGGAATATGACAGCTGCTTTAATAAATACAGGACAGACAGAGAATTGTTTCGCCCCTGCCAATTCCAGCCCTTTGATCCCAACACAAAAGAATTTCAAAAAAGAATCTCTCTCACCCCTCAGTGTTTGGGACAGATTTCTCGACCCAAAATTAGACGGTAAATGCTCAAAATTCGCCAGCATTAATGCCAAAATTAGAAAACTCGCACAAATATTTTGATTATTTTCGACTAACAGGCTGGGATGAAGCCAGATTTGCAAAGAAGAAATTCCAAATGCTGCAGCCGTGCCTGTGCCATGCGGCCGTCCCACCTCACGAGATAAAAGAATTGCCAAAAGCAAAAAGGGACGGCGGAATCTGCTGCCCACGTTCTAAGTGTGAAAAACGCCCCCGTTTTGTGCTTGGATTTTCCCAAATATTCAAATAAATATTGTACGTGTCGTGGTGGAAAGTGACGCTGTTTTAATTCTCTTATGTGGTGCTTTAAAATACAGTTTTAAGGTTATAAAAATTGTTAAAATAGAAACGATGCTGTGTAGGAGAATATACAAATATATATAAATATATAAATATATATAAATATATATAAATATATGTAAATATATAAATATGTATTTTATAAATATATATTTATTTATTATATATTTATATTATATATTTATTTATTATATATATTATATATATTATAAATATTATATATATTTATATGATATATATTATATATATCATATATAAATATATAATAATATATATAAATATATATATACAAATATATATAAATATATCCTTTATTTTTAAAAGAAAGGAGGACGCCTGAATCCTTCAGAGAAAGAGAATTTATTGCCCCATTATCAAAATAAACGAACTGAGCAGCCAGAATCCTGTGTTTGAGTGGAATTTATGCATCGCTAATGAGGTCTATGAATATTCAACAGGCTGTTGATTTTAAGGGTTGATCCTCTGTTAACCCGGGTCCTTTTTTGGGTTTATTTTGCCCAGAAATGGGACCCGGACTGTCCCTAACTCTTTGTTTTTGTTGCCTCAAATCCTCCTAATTAAAATTGCCCAAATCGTTATTATTCTAATTGTGTTACTGTTTTATAACCATTTTATTGCTGTTAAACTTTTAAAGTTTTAAAATCGAGCGATGGGAGTTTTCCACACAGGGGTTGGTGATGATGGCTACTGGTTTGTACTGGTTTTATACTGGTTTTATACTGGATTTGTACTGGTTGTACTGGTTTGTACTGGTTTATACTGGTTGTACTGGTTTGTACTGGTTTTATACTGCTTTTATACTGGTTTTATACTGATTTTATACTGGTTTGTACTGGTTTGTACTGGTTTTATACTGGTTTATACTGTTTAATACTGCTTTTATACTGCTTTTATACTGGTTTGTACTGGTTTGTACTGGTTTGTACTGGTTTTATACTGGTTTGTACTGGTTTGTACTGGTTTATACTGGTTTGTCCTGTTTATACTGGTTTTATACTGGTTTGTACTGGTTTATACTGCTTTTGTACTGGTTTTATACTGGGTTTGTACTGGTTTTGTACTGGTTGTACTGGTTTTATACTGGTTTTATACTGGTTTTATACTGGTTTTATACTGGTTTTATACTGGTTTGTACTGGTTCTTTTACTGGTCCGTGCAGGCCCAAACTGGTCTGTACTGGTTTGTACTCGTCAAAAATGGGTCAGAAACTGGAACCCCCCCAGTGCTCCCAGTCCCTCCCAGTTCCCCCCCAGTCCCTCCCAGTCCATCCCAGTTCCCCCCAGTTGCATTTTGGGGCCCCCAGTCCCTCCCAGTCCCTCCCAGTTCCCCCCAGTTCCTCCCAGTTGCATTTTGCCCCCCACCCAGTGCTCCCCGTCCCCCCAGTTCCATCCCTGTCCCATTTTAGCCCCCCCCAGTCCCTCCCAGTTCCCCAGTCTGTGATTCCCAGTCCATCCCAGTTCCCTCCCAGTTCCCCCAGTTGCATTTTGGGGCCCCCCAGTCCCCCCCAATCCCCCCCCATTCCCTCCCAGTCCCTCCCATCCCATTGTAGCCCCCCCAGTCCATCCCAGTCCCCCCAGTTCCCCCTCTCACCCCTCCCAGTCCTCTCCAGTCCCTCCCAGTCCCTCCCAGTTGCATTTGGGGCCCCCTCCAGTGTTCCCAGTACCCCCCAGGTCCCCCCAATCCCTCCCAGTCCCTCCCAGTTCCATCCCAGTCCATTTTAGTCCCCCCCAAGTCCCTCCCAGTCGCTCCCAGCCCCTCCCAGTCCATCCCAGTTCCCCCCAGTTGCATTTGGGGCCCCCCCAGTCCATCCCAGTCCCTCCCAGTTCCATTTTAGCCCCCCCCCAGTCCCTCCCATCCCCCCCAATCCCCTCCCAGTCCCCCCCAGTCCCCCAGTCGCTCCCAGTCCCCCCAGTTCCATCCCAGTCCCATTTTAGCCCCCCAGTCCATCCCAGTCGCTCCCAGTCCCCCCCAATCCCCTCCCAGTCCCTCCCAGTCCCCCCCAGTCGCTCCCAGCCCCTCCCAGTCCCTCCCAGTTCCTCCCAGTTGCATTTTGGGGCCCCCCCAGTCCCTCCCAGTTCCCCCAGTCCCCCCCAGTCCATCCCAGTCCCTCCCAGTCCCCCCCAGTCGCTCCCAGTCCCATTTTAGTCCCCCCCAATTCCATCCCAGTCCCCCCAGTCCTCCCAGTCCCTCCCAGTCCCCCCAATTCCATCCCAGTCCCCCCCAGTCCCCCCAGTCCCTCCCAGTTCCATCCCAGTCCCCCCCAATTCCCCCCCAATCCCCTCCCAGTCCATCCCAGTCCCCCCCAATCCCCTCCCAGTTCCCTCCCAGTCCCATTTAGCCCCCCCAGTTCCCCCCAGTCCCTCCAGTTCCCCCTCTCACCCCTCCAGTCCTCTCCAGTCCCTCCCAGTCCCCCCCAGTTCCATCCCAGTCCCTCCCAGTTCCTCCGGTCCCCCCCAATTCCATCCCAGTCCCCCCCAGTCCCATTTTAGCCCCCCCAGTCCCCCCAGTCCCTCCCAGTTCCTCCCGGTCCCTCCCGGGAAGCCCCGAACAAAGGCTCCTTTCCTGTGGGGGGAGGGGCTGGGGGGGGCTCCTTTCCTGTGGGGGGGGGGCCCCGCCCCTCCCCCCGCGACCCCCGCGACCCCCGAGGGGCGGGGGGGGGAGGGGCAGGGGCGGCCCGCCCGCCCCAAACGCGCCCGAATCGCCCCAAAAACGGCGCCGGGACCCCCGAAACGCGCGGGGGGGGCGGCCGGGACCCCCCGGGGATTTTGGGGACCCCCCGGGGGTTTTGGGGCCCTTCCAAAAAATTTTGGGACCCTCGGGGGTTTTGGGACCCCCCCCCAAAAAAGGTTTTTGGGACCCCCTCGGATTTTTTGGGACCCCCTCGGATTTTTTTGGGATTCCCTCGGATTTTTTGGGACCCCCTCGGATTTTTTGGACCCCCTCGGATTTTTTGGGATCCTCCTCTGGATTTTTTGGGATCCTCCTCTGGATTTTTTGGGGTCTCTCCCGGAGTTTTTGGGGTCCCCGTGGATTTTTTGGGACCCTCGGGGAGTTTTTGGGGTCTTTCCGAAAAGGTTTTTGGGACCCCCCCCCCCCCCCGGTTTTTTTGGGATTCCCTCGGGTTTTTTGGGATCCTCCCTCTGGAGTTTTTGGGGTCTCCCCCGCCGGATTTTTTTGGGACCCTCCGGGAGTTTTTGGGTCCCCGTGGAATTTTTGGGACCCTCCCGGAATTTTTGGGATCCTTATAAAAAGTTTGGGGACCCCCCTGGATTTTGAGATCCCCCTTGGATTTTTTGGGATCCTCACTGAATTTTTGGGATCCTCACTGAATTTTTGGGATCCCCCCTCTGGATTTTTGGGATCCCCCCCTGGATTTTGTGATTTCCTCGGATTTTTGGGACCTCCCAGACTTGGGATCCACCTCTGGATTTTTGGGATCCCCTCCCTGGATTTTGTGATTTCCTCGGAATTTTGGGACCTCCCAGACTTTGGGATCCCCCTCGGATTTTTGGGACCCCCCCCCGGATTTTCTGACTCCCTCGGATATTTTGGGATCGCGGATTTTGGGATTTCCTCGGGATTTTTTGGAGCCTCCTCGCGGATTTTGGGACCCCCCCCGGATTTTGGGACCCCCCGGATTTGGGGACCCCCCCCCCGCCATGGGGCTGTGGCTGCTCTGGCTCTGGGTCCCCCTGGGGCTGGCGGAGGAGGGTGAGCGACCCCCCAAAAAAAACCCCCAAAAACCCCCCAAAAATCCCCAAAACAACCCCTGGGACCCCCCAAAACCCCCTGGGACCCCCCAAAACCGCCCTGGGACCCCCAAAACCGCCCTGGGACCCCCAAAACCCTCCTGGGACCCCCAAAACCCCCCCCAAAAACCCCCCGGGACCCCCAAATCCCCCTTGGAACCCCCAATCCCCCTGGGACCCCCCCCAAAAACCCCCTTGGAACCCCCAAGGACCCCCAAAAATCCCCCCGGGACCCCAAAACTCTCCTGGGACCCCAAAACCCCCTTGGAACCCCCAAAAACCCCCAAGGACCCCCAAAATCCCCCTGGGACCCCCCTGGGAACCCCGGGACCCCCACACCCCCCCCCGGGACCCTCTGAGGAGGAGATTTGGGGTTTTTTGGGGTGGATTTGGGGTTTCTGGTGCGAGATTTGGGGTTTTTGGGGGGATATTTGGGTGTTTTGGGCTGAGGAGGAGATTTGGGGTTTTTTGGGGTGGATTTGGGGTTTCTGGTGCGAGATTTGGGGTTTTTGGGGGGATATTTGGGTGTTTTGGGGGCAGATTTGGGGTTTTTGGGGGAATATTTGGGGTTTTTGGGGGATATTTGGGGTTTTTGGGGATATCCGGGTTTTTTGGGGGATATTCGGGGTTTTTTGGGATATTTGTGGTTCGTGGTGGGATATTTGGGGTTTTTGGGGGATATTTGGGGTTTTTGGGGGTTTTTTTGGGGGATATTTGGGGTTTTTGGGGGATATTCGGGGTTTTTGGTGGGATATTTGGGGTTTTTGGGGGATATTTGGGGTTTTTGGGGGATATTTGGGGGTTTTGGGGGGGTTTTGGGGGATATTTGGGGGTTTTTGGGGGATATCCGGGGTTTTTGGGGGATATTCGGGGTTTTTTTGGGATATTTGTGGTTCGTGGTGGGATATTTGGGGTTTTTGGGGGATATTTGGGGTTTTTTGGGGGGGTTTGGGGGGATATTTGTGGTTTCTGATGGGATATCCGGGGTTTTGGGGGGGATATTCGGGGTTTTGGGGGATATTTGGGGTTTCTGATGGGATATTTGGGGTTTTTGGGGCAGATTTGGGGTTTTTGGATATTTTGGGCCCCGCTCATCCCCCCCGCCCCCCCAGAGACGCTGCTGGACACGAGGCTGGAGACGAGCGACCTGCGCTGGACGGTGCATCCACCTGGGAGGGACAGGTGACACCTGGGGACACCTGGGGAGGGACAGGTGACACCTGGGGACATTGGGGACACACCTGGGACACACCTGGGGACACACCTGGGGACATTGGGGACATTGGGGACACACCTGGGACACCTGGGGAGGGACAGGTGACACCTGGGGACACAGCTGGGGCATTGGGGACATTGGGGACACACCTGGGACACACCTGGGGCATTGGGGACACCTGGGGAGGGACAGGTGACACCTGGGGACCACCTGGGGAGGGACAGGTGACACCTGGGGACACCTGGGGACACACCTGGGAGGGACAGGTGACACCTGGGGACACACCTGGGGACACACCTGGGACACACCTGGGACACATCTGGGGCATTGGGGACATTGGGGACACACCTGGGACACACCTGGGGAGGGACAGGTGACACCTGGGGACACCTGGGGAGGGACAGGTGACACACCTGGGGACATTGGGGACACACCTGGGGACACCTGGGGAGGGACAGGTGACACCTGGGGACATTGGGGACACACCTGGGACACACCTGGGGACATTGGGGGACACGGAGGGGTGGACCAGAGGTCGCCAGCCCCGCTGACCCTCTGTCCCTCTGTCCCTCCCTGTCCCCCTGTCCCTCCCTGTCCCTCTGTCCGTCCCTCTGTCCGTCCCTGTCCCCCCCGGTGTCCCCCCCGGTGTCCCTCTGTCCCCCCGGTGTCCCTCTGTCCCCGCGGTGTCCCTCTGTCCCCCCGGTGTCCGTCCGTCCGTCCGTGCCCGCAGTGGGAGGAGCTGAGCGCGCTGGACGCGGAGCTGGGCGGGGCCGTTCGCACCTTCGAGGTGTGCTCGGGGCGGGGCGGGGGCGGGGCCGAGCGGGACCACGCCCCTCCGCGGGGCCGGAGCCCCGCCCAGAACGGCCGGAGCCCCGCCCAGAACAGCTGGAGCCCCGCCCAGAACAGCTGGAGCCCCGCCCAGAACAGCTGGCTCCGGTCGCGCTGGGTGCCCCGCGGCGCCGCCACCACCGTGATGGCCGAGATCCGGTTCACCGTGATGGCCTGCGACAGCCTCGGGGCCAGCCCGGGGGACAGGGACAGAGCCAGGGGGACAACGGGGGATACCGGACAGGGACAGGGACGGGGACAGAGCCAGGGACAGTGACAGCCTCGGGGCCAGCCCGGGGGACAGGGACAGGGCCAGGGGACACGGGGGATACCGGACAGGGACAGGGACAGGGACAGGGACAGGGACATCCTGGCCGGGGGGACATTGGGGACATCGGGGGACACGGGACAGACCCAGGGGGACACGGGGGATACCGGACAGTGACAGGGACAGAGCAAGGGGGACACGGGACAACGACCCCGAACACCTGGATCTGCATGGAAACGACCCCCGAACACCTGGATCTGCACCGAAATGACCCAAAATCCATTGATTTCCATGACAACCACCCCAAAACCCTCGATCTCTGGGGAAAGGACCCCGAACCCCTTGATCTCCATGGAAACGACCCTGAACCACTCGACCTCCAGGGAAAGGACCCCAAACCCCTCAATCTCCAGGGAAAGGACCCAAAACCCCTCAATCTCCACCCAAACGACCCCGAACCCCTCGATCTCCATGGAAACGACCCGAACCCCTCGATCTCCACGGAAACGACCCCGAACCCCTCGACCTCCACCCAAACGACCCAAAACCCCTCGATCTCCATGGAAAGGACCCAAAACCCCTCGATCTCCATGGAAACGACCCCGAACCCCTCGATCTCCACCCAAACGACCCAAAACCCCTCGATCCCTACGGAAACGACCCTGAACCCCTCGATCTGCACGGAAATGACCCCAAACCCCCTTGATCTCCATGGAAACGACCCCGAACCCCCTCGACCTCCACCCGTTCCACGCCCCGGGCCCCGCCCGCCCGCCGCCGCCGCCGCCGCAGCCCCGTCCCCGCCGCGCCCCGCACCTGCAAGGAAACGTTCTCGGTGTTCTACCACGAGTCCGACGCCGACACGGCCACGGCCACGTCCCCTCCGTGGATGGAGAACCCCTACGTCAAGGTGGACACGGTGGCCGCCGAGCACCTGGCGCGGCCGGGCGGGCCCCGGGGCCGCGTCAACCGCAAGGTGCTGCGGCTGGGCCCGCTGAGCCGCGCCGGCTTCTACCTGGCCTTCCAGGACCTGGGCGCCTGCATGGCGCTGCTCTCCGTGCGCCTCTTCTTCCGCCGCTGCCCCGCGGCCACGGCGCGCCTCGCCCGCTTCCCCGCCACCGTGCCCGCCGAGCTGGTGGCGCCCGTGGCCGGGCAGTGCGTGCCGGGCGCCGTGCCCGCCGCGCAGGGCTCGCCGCTGATGTACTGCCGGGAGGACGGGCGATGGGCCGAGCCGCCTGCCCTGGGATGTGTGTGCGGGGCTGGGATGGAGCCGAGCGAAGGGACTGGGTGCCGACGTGAGTTTGGGGTGAATTACGGGGATTTTGGGGTGTGGGATTGCCGCGCAGGGCTCGCCGCTGATGTACTGCCGGGAGGACGGGCGCTGGGCCGAGCCCCCTGCCCTGGGATGTGTCTGTGGGGCCGGGATGGAGCCCAGCGAGGGCACGGGGTGCCGGCGTGAGTTTGGGGTGATTTATGGGGATTTTGGGGTGATGTATGGGGTGTTATAGGGTGTGGGACGGGCGATGGGCCGAGCCGCCTGCCCTGGGCTGCGTGTGCGGGGCCCGGGGATGGAGCCCAGTGAAGGGACGGGGTGTCGGCGTGAGTTTGGGGTGAATTACAGGGATTTTGGGTGATTTATGGGGTGTAGGATGGGCGCTGGGCCGAGCCCCCTGCCCTGGGATGCGTGTGTGGGGCCGGGATGGAGCCGAGCGAAGGGACGGGGTGCCGGCGTGAGTTTGGGGTGATTTATGGGGATTTTGGATGATTTATGGGGTGTTATAGGGTGTAGGATGGGTGCTGGGGCTGAGCCCCCTGCCCTGGGATGTGTGTGCGGGGCTGGGATGGAGCCGAGTGAAGGGACGGGGTGCCGGCGTGAGTTTGGGGTGAATTATTGGGATTTTGGGTGATTTATGGGGTGTTATGGGGTGTTATGGGGTGTAGGACGGGCGCTGGGCCGAGCCGCCCGCCCTGGGATGTGTCTGCGGGGCCGGGATGGAGCCCAGTGAAGGGACGGGGTGCCGGCGTGAGTTTGGGGTGATTTACGGGGATTTTGGGTGTTTTATGGGCGGTAGGATGGGCGCTGGGCCGAGCCGCCCGCCCTGGGGTGCCAGCGTGAGTTTGGGGTGATTTGAGCTGTTTTTGGGTGATTTATGGGGATTTTGGGGTGATTTAACGGGGGGATTTTGGGGTGATTTATGGGGAATTGGGTGTTTTATGAGGATTTTGGGGAGATTTACGGGGATTTTGGGGTGATTTATGGGGAATTTGGGTGTTTTATGAGGATTTTGGGGTGATCTACAGGGATTTTGGGTGATTTATGGGCTGTGGGACGGGCGCTGGGCCGAGCTGCCCGCCCTGGGGTGCCGGCGTGAGTTTGGGGTGATTTGAGCTGGTTTTGGGTGATTTACAGGGATTTTGGGGTGATTTATGGGAATTTGGGTGTTTTATGAGGATTTTGGGGTGATTTTATGGGGATTTTGGGTGATTTATGGGGTGTAGGATGGGCGCTGGGCCGAGCCCCCTGCCCTGGGCTGTGTCTGTGGGGCTGGGATGGAGCCGAGCGAGGGCACGGGGTGCCGGCGTGAGTTTGGGGTGAATTACAGGGATTTTGGGTGATTTATGGGGATTTTGGGGTGATTTATGGGGATTTTGGGTGATTTATGAGGATTTTGGGGTGATTTACGGGATTTTGGGTGATTTATGGGGTGTAGGACGGGCGCTGGGCCGAGCCGCCCGCCCTGGGGTGCCAGCGTGAGTTTGGGGTGATTTGAGCTGGTTTTGGGTGATTTACAGGGATTTTGGGGTGATTTACAGGGATTTTGGGGTGATTTATGGGGATTTGGGTGTTTTATGAGGATTTTGGGGTGATTTACGGGGATTTTGGGTGTTTTATGGGGTGTGGGACGGGCGCTGGGCCGAGCCGCCCGCCCTGGGGTGCCGGCATGAGTTTGGGGTGATTTGAGCTGATTTTGGGGTGATTTGAGCTGGTTTTGGGGTGTTTTAGGGTTGTTTTAGGGTGTTTTTTGTGTGTTTTCGGGTTTTTTTAGGGTGTTTCGAATGTTTGGGGTGATTTAGGCTCCCCTGATGTAAATTTAGGGTGTTTTAGGGTGCTTTGTTGTGCTTTTTGATGCGTTCTGGTGTGTGTTAGGATGGTTTCGGGGTGTTTAGTGGTGTTTTGGGGTGTTTTGGGGTGATTTGGGTGTTTCGGGGTGTTTTTAGGGTGTTTTAGGTAGTTTTGGGGGTCTCTGGGGGTTTTTGGTTTGTTTTGGGGGTCTGAGGAGGATTTCTGGAGTGTTTTGGGATGTTTCATGGTGTGTGAGGGTGTTTTTTTGGTGGTTTTGGGGAGTTTTTGGTGCGTTTTGGGGGTGTTTTGGGGTGTTTTATTGGGTTGTTTTAGGGTGTTTTATGGTGTCTTGGTGTCCTTTGTGGTGTTTGGGGGCCTGTGGGGGATTTTTGGGGTATTCTGGGGTGTTTTGGGGGGGTTTTAGGGTGTTTTTGGGGAGTTTTTGGTGTGTTTTGGGGTGTTTGGGTGTTTGGGGTATTCTGGAGTGTTTTGGGCGGTATTTTAGGGCATTTTTCGCTGTTTTTGGGGCGTTTTTGGTGTGTTTCGGGGTGTTTGGGGTGTTTGGGGTATTCTGGGGTGTTTCATGCAGTATTTTCGGGCGTTTTTCGCTGTTTTTGGGGCGTTTTCAGGTGTTTGATGTGCGTTATTTGGGGGGTCTGTGGGGTATTCTGGGGTGTTTTGGGCGGTATTTTAGGGTATTTTTGGTGTTTTGGTGTGTTTTTTGTGTGTTTTGGGGTATTCTGAGGTGTTTCAGGCAGTATTTTAGGGCGTTTTTCGCTGTTTTGGGGGCGTTTTTGGTGTTTTGGGGTGTTTGGGGTATTCTGAGGTGTTTCATGCAGTATTTTAAGGGCGTTTTTTCGCTGGTTTTGGGGCGTTTTCCAGGCGTTTTGGGGTGTTTTGGGGTATTCTGAGGTGTTTCATGCAGTATTTTCGGGCGTTTTTCGCTGGTTTTGGGGCTTTTTCAGGTGTTTTGGGGTGTTTGGGGTATCCTGAGGTGTTTCGTGCAGTATTTTAGGGCGTTTTTTCGCTGTTTTTGGGGCGTTTTCAGGCGTTTTGGGGTGTTTGGGGTATTCTGGGGTGTTTCGGGCGGTATTTTAGG